CTAGTTCTATTCTAGTTCCATTCTAGTTCTGTTCTAGTTCTATTCTAGTTCGGTTACCTAAATCGCATTTGACCACAGTCTCAGACTCATTACTCTAAGACAGTTGCATAAGAAATGCACCACCTTTCTATCTCCTCTTCGTTTTCACACGACCTACAAAAATTCTGCGTGTTACCGACCAATTTGTTACGAAGGATCCAATTACAAAGTAACCGGTTATTACTACTATTAGAATCCTTATTGCTATTGCGTTCAATCTCTCCCACAAAGCCTTAGAATTAGAAATCTTGCAATCTATACTACTGCGCCAAGATCGGTTCGTAAAGTCCTTGAACTTTTTGGAGATTAGTCTATACCAGTGAACAGGGGACATCTACTTAATAATAAATATTTCATTTATTAATTTGAAATATTTGAAATCTATGGATTTAAAAAAAATCTAATCTTTTTAAAAAATTTGGAAAATACCAGAAAATTAATGCAAATACAAAAATGTTTAAAATTTTAATTTCATTAAAAAAATTCAGAAATTTACTAATCACATAGATGACTTTGCATATTTCTTCAATTAAGAAATTTTAAACATAAATTAAGTCAATTCTCTAGAATGTGTTTCAATGGTACCACTCTCAAACAAAAATCATCAATTAAAAAACTGGTTCTAGAACTTATGTTTTGTTGTTAGAAATTATTATTTTTGTTTTGATAACATTTTAAAGTGAAATACATCAGTCTTCTTAAAGATTTTCTTTGGCTGTTATAGTCTTAAGAAATCATTATCTTTGAAGGAATGGATAATATGAATATCAAGACTTCAGAACATTTGAGAAATAACAATAATAATTCTATTAATACAGGTAATGAACTTTCCCATATAACTATTTCTATTTCCATAAATATCAATTTATCATTTTATTTATTTAGGTGGGTTTGGTTTTTTAAATGATTTTTTTTTTTTTTTTGTTTGTTTTTGTTTTACTTTTAACACCAATGATACAAAATTTATTGAATTATACACTAGATATTAACATACAACTTAGGCCAAGGCTATCTACCACCGTATAAATGTCAACACGGAATAGAAACTTTTAAATACTATAAACATTCAAAAACACAAAAAAGCAGCAACAAAAAAAATCGCCAGTTAACTGACTTAAATTGCCACTGTAATGGCACAATATTAACTGTGCAATTTAAAGAATATTGATTTAAAAAAAAAACAAGTTTTAAATTTTTTAAATAAATTTATGTCACCAAAACATAGAAACACACACACATATGCACAAACACACAAATCTACAAAAATAAATTAATAACAAAAAATTCCGCTGCATTTTATTTAAAAAAAATCAAAAATTTTGTATAAAAAAATGCAATAAAAATATTAAATAAATCATTAAGAGTAACATCTTCTTTAAAAAAAATCTACGAATATGAATGACAAAACTACATACAAACACATAAAGTATGACAAGACAAGTAGTAGCTAGCAGGTTACTGTAAGTGTAGAAAAAAATTAAAAACTCAAATAAATAGTATTTAACAACGACAACAATATTGCCAACAACATTTTCACAATGTGTTGATGTTGATCCCAGCAACATGATCAACTAACTAACAACAAATACTTACTACTGCCGCTGTTGCTGCGGCTGCTACTGCCGCCTGTAGTTTTATGATTAACTAGCTGGCATAAATACACGGCAGCAGCAGTAGCAGCAACAGATGGAGAAGAAGTCGTGGCAGTCAAACAAACATTAAATTTTGGTCTAATCTAAATGAAATGTCGGTAAATGAATAAATACATGTTATGGTAGTATGGGGAATATTTCATATTGTTAAATTATATTGTTGGAAGAATGTAAAGAGTTAATGGATCATAAAGATAATGTTTTTTATAGATTTACTGATCCTTCGACAATTGGAATTATAAAAGTTATATGATTTTTTCCTTCACATTATATTTTCGAGATATCTTGTCTTGACTGAAAAAAAAGTTTTGAATATAATTTTGAAATTATCAGCTCCAAGACACCTTTATTTTGTAAAATCGGTTGTCAGATTTGGGTTTAGCTGAGCTAAATCGTTTAGAAAAGTATAATTTGGCCTCTGGGTTTCGACTTTCTTGCAAAGTGTTATCAACAACCAAAAATGTTTCGCAGTTTCTGAAAATTTAATCAATTTATTTTCAGAGTAACGGTGTTTAGGCCTATTCTCTATTGGTTGTTAACCCTTAGAAACGATTGCGTGGTCTAATGACAAATTTATTAACCCGATCTTTTAACTTACTTTACTGGTCTATTGGCCATTGGGATAACGACATGAATGGCATAGCGGGAATCATTCCAGTGCATTCTATTGGCTACTTTGCGTAAGTTGAAGGCTCCTCTTTTCACTTTTCAGTATCTAGTCACTTCTTACGCGTTGGTTCGTCTGCCTGGAGACTGCTTTGAGAAAGATACCCAGAAAAAACTTACATTGAAAAGTAATGAGTTAAAAAGCTAATAAAACCAATTTTCACTACTTCTTCATTAGCATTTTAAGTCATTATTTTAACACGGTGATGTCATTGGAGGCAAGTACTTCCACGCTCGCTTACAAATAGGTTAAAGAAGACCTTGCAATTTCTCTTATAAAGAAGTTGTTCAGTAAGTTGTTTTATTTTTTAATAATAAAAAGAGACAGCTAGAATAAGAACCAGGGACTTAGGTTGGTCAGTCAACTGTTCTACTCACTGCACCACTGCTTAGCGATTTTAATTAGCGTGAAATAATGGTTTTCATATACAAATTTAATTTTGTTTTCTATTTTGTAAAACACAATTCTTAAAGTTCTTCTATATCAGTTTATAAGAAAATCATTACTAGAGTACTTCTAAGTAATGCAGATTATAAGTAACAGTCATTGAAAAGTAAGTGGTTTTGGAAGTACAACCCATTACCGAGTTTTTGATAGTTTTGGCTAAGACAATATACATATTTGCAAACAGGAAGATCTTTTCTTTTTCTGCCTCTTCTCAGTATTAAGCTCCTCGGAACATCTGATTTAATTTGCTTCAGAGATTCTGACTAAAGACACCTTTAAGCTAATGTCTTCTCTTGACTACTTTGACGTAAGATGGCGGCTCTCATCTCTTTTTTCTTCTTTTGCTTTGAGGACAATGTGGTCGTCTTCACAATAGCTTGATTGGATTTGGGTCTGTTCTCAATATTCAACTTCTTTTGAAAATCTGATTCTCATTACTCCAGAGATTGAGAATGAATTCAATATGCCATTTGACAACACACTCGTAAAATTGTCATTGGAGGTTCTTTTGAGAAAGCTTTTTTCTTCTCAGTTCTCTCTCCTCTTTACTTTAGAGATTGAGAGATTCTTTGTCATCCTACTCATAAAATTGTCACTGGAGGTTCTTTTGAGAAGGTTTTTTTCTTCTCAGTTCTCTCTCATCGAGAGATTTGGTTCCATTTGCTTCAGATGATGAAAAATAATCCGATTCATCCCAGGTTCTTTTGTATGTCTTAGTTTTGAGAGAAAGCATTTTTCTTTTCACTTCTCTCTCCTCGTGAGATCTGGTTTCCTTTGCCTAAGATGATGAAAGAGAATGCGATACATTCTTCAGAGTGTCCGGGATTGACTCAATTTGATCTTTTCGATCATCTTCAGCTTTTCACTCTTGGACTACCGAAAGTTATTTTAAAACTTATAGTTGCCTCTTCACATGACTTGGTTAGTTTTCCTTATTCCATTGCGGTTCTCAGTCGGTATGTTTTCCCTGGACGGTCACGTTCTGTACTTCCCTGAGTACACCTTCATGTTCATATATTTATGATAATATTAGTGTCTCTTTAGTACTTGGCCAAACTTCGCAGCATTATATGCAGAAACTTGTTCGTCTGCGTGTTGGAACTTCGGTATTGTCATGTTGGTCGTAAATCATGTTTCACTTTCGTTTAATAGTCAAAATTTCACTATTTGGAGGTGTAATTACTTTACCCAGTTTATCATCTTTGCGTATTTGGTAACAAGCTCTTGCAATTTATAATGTCTATGGGAAATAAGGCATACCTTATTCGGAAAGTCGAGATTCTCGACATTGTAGATTCCAAATATTCTCCAAATATTATTTTCCTCTATATTACTGTCATTTGGGATATATTGCAAATTTAACTCTATAATATGTTTTAGCCGAAATAAAGCATTCACCGTGACTTCAAAACATCTTGACTCTGGTTTGCTAGAATAACAATCGCGGTTCTGAATGTCGTGCGATGCGTGTCTGTTTCTACTAAAGCTGAAAGTGCGAAAATTGAACAAAGAACATTGACTCGCCTTGTACCTCAAAAACCCGACCACTATGGACCAATGATTAAAGATTTTTTTATTAGCTAAACTGTATGTTATGAACTTCGACAGACAGAGTAAACTTGCCATACGTCGCATATTTTCCGTTGATTTCCATGGATGTCACAATCTCTTGCATGCCTCGTGTGATGTAGATATGGAAACGAAAAGAATTGAGAAGATATCCCTCAGGTCTACAATCGGGAGACGTTGGCAAATTTACCGCCAATATAGGTGAAACAAATAGCATATGATATACTTGAGAAGTCTACTTATATAAGAGGTACCTTTCTTAGCTCCAATAAGAAGACATTACAACCAAAAATTTTCTATTTGTTTCAGAATAAGTCATACTCGATCAAAGATTATCCAACAAAATACGATTTGTATTTCAGACTTAATTTACAACATGGATCCAGATCCATAATATAAATACTAAACTCCCCTTATTCATTAAACTAAGTATTAGTTTGTTGGCAGTATTTTGCTGTCGCTGCTGCTGCCGTTGTTGGTATTATTATTGTTGTTGAGGCTTTTGAAAGAAATGGTGTCTTGAGAAAACAAGAAACAACATTTGTTGTGGTGTGGTGGGGGTTACTACTTATATGATGTCCAGACCAGTCAACACTACTTATATCAAGCAACAAACAAATAAAACAAAACAACTAAACAGCCAACCAAGCAAACAGCCAGTCAGGCAGCCAACAACAGTCAACAGTCAGCCAGCCAGCATCTGTAAAGCCAAGTTATTATAAAGTTGGCATTTAAATAGTTAGTACGGTTTGGGTGTTCACAGTGATCGGTTGATTAACGAAAAAATAAGCTCTCGTGGAAAAGTAGAAAATTAAAAAAATAAAACGCTGGATAAAGTTGAAATAAAAAGTAGTGATTTAGTTTTTGTCTGTGTTGCAAAATCTAACACAAGAAGTGAATGTAAGAAATTTAAGAAAAAAAAAATACATAAAAGATATATAAATCCCACAAGGATAATTGTCAAAGTCCTTGAAAGCAAAATAGTTTGACAAAATAATAATAACAAAAATATTTATTTAAAAAATTTCTTTTGAATTTTCTTATAGTTGAGTGCATTATTACCAAATAACGGTCAGAAACGGCCTTAATTTAAATAACTCAAAAAAAAAAAAAAAATAGTTCAATTAAAAAAAGCATTTAAAAATATGCTGCATCCGCTTTTAAGCCCAAAAATGCTTTATGTATATGGATTAATCTGTTTAAGTTGTAAGTAAATTTTAAATTAATGAATTAATTGACAAATTAGCAAAATTATTATAAATTTTGCAATAATGAAACAAAAAAAAAAAAAACAAACAATTTACGCCATAAATTTTAACAGCTGTGTTAAAACAAAAAAAATCTTAACATAAAAAAACAAAAGACTTAAGCTGCAAACATTAATATGTATAAATAAGTTTTATGTATTTGGTGTTAAGAAAAAAACTGAAAGAAAACAAAAGACTTAAGACCCATACTCGTTTCGATTTTTATAACCTTAATTATGTTTTATTTCTTTATCGTGTGTTTGTGTTTTTTGATTTAATAGTTTTTTTCCATTCGACATGCCGAGATTTATACAATATACAATTTTTATGCAAATTTATTAATTTTTGAACTTATCACCATTTCAAATGAATTTTCCTTGATATAATTTAAAAAAGACCTTCTTTCTTCATACAAACGCAATAAATTTTGAAAAATAAAAAAAACTAACGTTTTGATGAGTTTATGTCGTTTTCGTTTGAGTATGATTGATTTATTTCGAATAATAAATGCATTTTTTTAGTTTTTTGTTAAAATTTACGTGTTTTTTGTGATAAAAAGAAACACAATTAGAATTGTTGTTTTTAATATCTCCAATGGAGTTGATAGAACTCTCAGCGTAAAAGGAGTGCTCCAGAATAAAATAAATTTTAATTTTTACCAATAAAAAATAAATTTCGTTTGCGAAAAGAATTATAAAGAATCAATCACGATTTTGCTAAATATTTAAACGATTTTTCAAATCGTCTTTAAACGAAATTGTAAATGGGCATTACAAAACTTTAACACTTCCACTTTACGCAAGTTAAAGTTCATTCAAATCGTCCATAGACTGGTTCATAGAATAGTCAGTAGACTAGTCCATAGACTTGCCCATAGAATTGTCCATAGATTAGTCTGCAAACAGGACCATAGATTAGTACGCAGACTGATACTCTGACTAGTTCATATATTGATCCATAGACTAGTCCATATTATGGTCCATAGACTAGTCATACAATAGTTCATAAGCTAATCTACTATTTTATTGACTAGTCCATGGACTATTCTATTCACTAGTCTATAGAAGACCCCATAGACTAGTCCATATGTGGATCAATACATTAGTTGATAGTCAATACACTTGCCAATAGGCTAGTCCATAGAATAGCCCCTAGACTAGTTCTTAGTCTAGTCAATAGGTAGGTAGGTTGATAGGAGGATGTATATTACATCAAATCCGAAGAAATACACCTAGGCCACTATCGGGCCTGTTGTGCGCTCCTTATCATGAAAAAAAGGGGACCTAATTTAATTATTGAATTATTTGAATTATTATATTTCCAAGAGGCCTTATGGGATTCTCTCACCCATATTTTTAGTTCAGCTTTTTTTGCGTCGAATGGTTTCGCGTTTGTCAGGTTAACTGCCTCTAGCTCCCTACCTTTTAAAGCTATTACATTCGCCCTTTCGTTACTGACTACTTCCGAGTGGGCTGGAACCTTACCTCTGGGAGAGTATTCAGTTAAAACTTTTTTACAATCCAATACGGTCTTAGATTTTGTTCTATCGCCTGATATCGCCCTAATTGCCTTGTGGCTATCGGTAAATATATTAAGCGCTGTGGGCGCCATATTTATTCTAATCCAATTTACGCATTCCGTTATTGCTCGTACTTCTGCCTGGAAACTTGTGTTATGATTTGTTAAACGGTGGTATATTTCTGTTTCTGGATCTTCAATATAGAACCCTAGCCCCACTTTGTCCCCCAATTTAGAGCCGTGTAACAACGGATTCCTACTGGTGTTTGCTCTAATGTTCCGCTTGACCAAGACATTCTTTCTGGGATCAGCGTTTCAAAGTTTCCAACATATTCTGTGTCTGGTATACGATCAGGCACGTCCGATGATTGTGTATAACCTTCCAATGTGTCCAGTATACATTGATGACGTGTCCTATAACCGCTTTTGGCCAGTTCACCTAAAGTAAAGAGCCGTTCGGCTGTAAGCGCCGCCTCATATCTTATATATTTCAATGGCTAGAATATCTAGCAACGTTTCCAGAGCCTTGGTTGAAGTAGTACACATGGCACCACTTATACCCAAGCAGCATGTACGCTGAACTCCCTGTAGTAGTTTGATATTGCACTTTTTGTCTAAAGTCTAGTCAATAACTTTCCAGACATTTTAGAAAACTTCCCCCTAATTATTGAGATATTTCAATCCTAATACTATACCATTCGACTCGAACCCATTACACAAAATTTATAGTAGTTACTCAATATTGTATATTTTTTAAGTGAAAAAGAGTTATATCCCCATTAAAAGCTATAATTTATTACTTTTCTAATTAAAACAATTTTAATGTTCATATCGTAAATCAAAAGTAAATTAACTAAATAATTTACTATTTTTTACCTTCAAAAAAATACATTAACTCAAAAAAAAAAACTATTTGAGGGTTAATTAAATTTTTTAAACTTTCTACAAACATACAGATTATCTAAAAAAAATCTCAGTTAGTAAAATCGAACAAAAAAAAAACAATCATCTATTCAAGTAAAATGTTAGAATTTGACTTCAATTCATTTAATTTTGTTTACATTTTATTACATGACATTCGTTATAGTGAATTTAACTCCTTTTAAGATAAATCAAATACACTTTCAAATTACAGAAATACATAAATAACAAAAATAATTTTATAATTTTATATGTTATTTATAGTCAAAATTCATTTAACTAAATGCCAAATGATTCATTTTAATAAAGTTTTTATTTTGTCTAGTTGTAATAAATTTTATTAAAATTAATTATATAAGAATATATGTTGCATTTATATGTAAGTTTTTGACCATGACTTATTGAAAATGTTAAAAAAAAAAAAAAAAAAACATTTGAAAATTTTTACATATTCAAATTCCGGTTCTTTAAAAAACCCAACAACTTTGTATTCGAATAAATGTAAATATTAAAAATTTATTTATTTTTTTTTTTAATTTTTTCTTGGAAGTTTACCTCTATGAAAATAAAAATATTTTAACAAAAAATTCGCATACATTTACAGCTATATAAATAAAAAATAAACAATTTATTTTTTTAATTAAAATACTCATTATTTAAATAGATTTATAATTAATGGTTTTTAAATAAATAAATTCATAAATCAAATGAAAATGTGATGTGCTAATTGTTTATTGTAAATTATTTAAAAAAAAATATTTTACACTTAGAGTATGAATGTAATTATAATTTGTACAATAAAATAATTATTTTTAAACAACTTCATATTTGACCATTTTAAAAAGTTGTTAAAATGATCTCTAAATCATGAGGTTTCAAAAAAAAAAAAAAAAAAATAGAAGTATTTTCTTTTATTTAAGATCAACTTCTTATATTTTTTTCTTTTTTAATATATAAAATTTTAAAAATTTTAAAGTTTTTATATCGGCTCAGAATCGTTTTCCGAGTCGATTTAGCTATGTCCGTCTGTTCGTATGTCTGTCTATCCGTCTGTGTGTCCATGTAAACCTTGTGGACAGGCTACATGTCGCAATTTTCAAGATAATTTGATAAAATTTGGAACATTTTTTTGACCCAAGGAAGAAGCCTTTTGAAAATGGTTAAAATCGGTACATTATTTCGCATAGCCCCCATACAACCGTATTTGAGCTCATAAATATGTTAAATGTTCTTGTATCACTCCATCAATCGGCAAAACTTAGTTTTATATAAGTCTTAATGATATTGTTAACATATTCACTGGTGTAGGTCAAAAGTATAAACAATTTAGAGACATTCAAATTCTCTAATATTCAATCTCTTAGTATTTCGATAATTTAAAAGTATGGTTCCACAAATAACATTTCATCGAAAATTTGGGTAATAAATCATACCTTTGAATGACTTTTGTAGAAGTTTTCATAATGACAACAAAGGAGAAATGGTCAAACTCTTCCTATATCTTATCTCAGCTGACTAAAGGATAAGAAATACAAAATATTTTCAGAAATTTTAGGGAAATTTCATTCCTGAATCTGATTAGTTCAATGTTGAACCCTATAGGAACATATACATGTCCTATTTGAGACATTATGTGTTGTGGGTATTACAAAGAGATCAGACTTCTGGATTTATGAACATGTTTGTACGTGTGTGACTTTTCATATAATCAATAATAAGCATTGAAGTACCATTATCGTCAGAGGACTCAGAAAATCTATCTACTCCCTCGTCTTGGGGTGACTGCAATCCTGGAAAAAAGTAGTGCTACTAATACCACTAGTCTCCCAGAACTATAAACATTAGGGGTCAAATATATCATCGGCCTTTCCCACAGGTCAAAGTTTCGGACTTTGTCTTGTCCCGGTTGTTGGAGAGGTCCCTTCAGTGTGCACGGGGTAGCTGGGGTTTAAGCCCAAACTCGCGGGAAGATAATGTTAGTTGAAATCTATATTTCGGGATAAGTTCGATCCTGTTGACAAAAAAGATTTTAACTCAACAGTTCTTTACATAGAGTACTAGTTATACCAAATGTACGTGGATAACTTAATAAAAATATAAATAAAATCATACTATTGAAAATCTGAACGGTATTTTCTCTAAATATTCATAATTTATCCGTAATAGTATAGCAAATAAACAATTTTAGGACTTAATTCATAAGTTGAACATTCGAGGACCTAAAGCCTGCTAAATTTGACGACTTTAACTCTAATAACCATGCCCACTATTGCTAGTCCGCCCATTTTTGTCCTTAATAGCCTTATTCATACAAATTTGAGATTTTAACATGCTGCAGTTTCCAAGCTAAACGACTTTTTTATATACAAAGATATTTGTTCATAGTTTAAAATTTTTTAACATTTTTAAAGAATTTGTTTATTAATTATGAATATAAAGTAAATTTACTTATATCCTTCTTATTAGAATTTTTCTTAGTGTACAATCAAAAATTATGAGTCAATTAAGGAAAGACGTAAATTGTATTTAAAATCAATTTTTGATTACAGTTAATTATTTTTGGTAGAAGTTTTCAAAAATAAACGCAAACATCTTAAAAATAAATTTTTAAATAAATTATTCAAATTAAATATGACTACGCAAATAATAAATAAATACGATTATATATTTATGTATGATAATATGTAAATTAGATAATAAATCGGAACATTGATCTTAGTATTTTCCACAGTCAACAAGACAAGAAGTTCAATATGCCGGCCACGTTGACATTTAATTTTTTTCTTAGTGCGTTGGTCTTGTTTTTTAAATACTTAATTTACATAGATAGATATGATTTTTTTTCGAATATATAGTTAAGAGGTTATACTTTGGTTAAGAGAATGTCTTTGAATTTGTGCAATTTTTAAATAAATTCAAATTAAAACTCACTGCCTGCAATATATTAAATTTATTTTCAAAACTACCTTCATTTTATTGTTCATTCAGTGGCAAATTGATATTTTGTTTTTTAGTTTTTTTTTTTCAAAAAAACTCGTTTTGTAATTTTTTTTTATTTATTTTATTTTTAAAGTTTGCAAATTGTTTTTAAAGTTATTTTATTGGTATTTTATATAAACTGAATTTTTTTCAACAATTTATTTTTGTACCCTACATCCAGACATGGAAAATTCAGTCTATAGTCTAGTCTATAGTCTAGTCTATAGTCTAGTCTATAGTCTAGTCTATAGTCTAGTCTATAGTCTAGTCTATAGTCTAGTCTATAGTCTAGTCTATAGTCTAGTCTATAGTCTAGTCTATAGTCTAGTCTATAGTCTAGTCTATAGTCTAGTCTATAGTCTAGTCTATAGTCTAGTCTATAGTCTAGTCTATAGTCTAGTCTATAGTCTAGTCTATAGTCTAGTCTATAGTCTAGTCTATAGTCTAGTCTATAGTCTAGTCTATAGTCTAGTCTATAGTCTAGTCTATAGTCTAGTCTATAGTCTAGTCTATAGTCTAGTCTATAGTCTAGTCTATAGTCTAGTCTATAGTCTAGTCTATAGTCTAGTCTATAGTCTAGTCTATAGTCTAGTCTATAGTCTAGTCTATAGTCTAGTCTATAGTCTAGTCTATAGTCTAGTCTATAGTCTAGTCTATAGTCTAGTCTATAGTCTAGTCTATAGTCTAGTCTATAGTCCAGTCTATAGTCTAGTCTATAGTCTAGTCTATAGTCTAGTCTATAGTCTAGTCTATAGTCTAGTCTATAGTCTAGTCTATAGTCTAGTCTATAGTCTAGTCTATAGTCTAGTCTATAGTCTAGTCTATAGTCTAGTCTATAGTCTAGTCTAGTCTAGTCTATAGTCTAGTCTAGTCTATAGTCTAGTCTAGTCTAGTCTAGTCTAGTCTAGTCTAGTCTAGTCTATAGTCTAGTCTATAGTCTAGTCTATAGTCTAGTCTATAGTCTAGTCTATAGTCTAGTCTATAGTCTAGTCTAGTCTATAGTCTAGTCTAGTCTATAGTCTAGTCTAGTCTAGTCTAGTCTAGTCTATAGTCTAGTCTATAGTCTAGTCTATAGTCTAGTCTATAGTCTAGTCTAGTCTATAGTCTAGTCTATAGTCTAGTCTATAGTCTAGTCTATAGTCTAGTCTATAGTCTAGTCTATAGTCTAGTCTATAGTCTAGTCTATAGTCTAGTCTATAGTCTAGTCTATAGTCTAGTCTATAGTCTAGTCTATAGTCTAGTCTATAGTCTAGTCTATAGTCTAGTCTATAGTCTAGTCTATAGTCTAGTCTAGTCTAGTCTATAGTCTAGTCTATAGTCTAGTCTATAGTCTAGTCTATAGTCTAGTCTATACTGAATAAATTGGTAAAATATTTTGTAATTAAGGTAAAAAAAATTAAATATTTCATTATATTTAATTTGAAAAAAATAATCAATATTCTCAACATACTCAGTAATGTAGGGTATCATATGTTCGGTCACGTCCGACTATAAATTCTTACTTGTTTTATTAATAATAATATTAATTTTCTTGTGTTTGATTGCGACCAATTGATTATAAAAATTATATTGGTTTTATCTGACTTTTTAAGCAATTTATTAATATGTTTGTGACTGGATGTTGTTTGTGTGTCAGTGTGTGTGTTTTTATTTCCAATAAAATGGGTTTTGAAAAAAGTATGTTACAATCTCTGATTTAAATTTTTGTGAACAAGGTAAAGGCTATTGCAACTTTAAATTTTAATGAGTTGCATATTTAACACTCTAATATGGTCGTTTTTTATTGATTATTTCTTTTATTGGCAATTTTGTGGGTGGAATATAAAAAGCTTTGTTTGCAAATAAAATTTACCATCATAGATTGTTGGGTTTTCTGTAGACATTTGCATAATGTTGCAATTTGAAAAATGTATTTTGATTTTTATAATTAAATTCAAGGTTATTTTAATTTTAGCGGATTGTGCATTAATTTATTGCAAATATATTTTAGTAACTCCCATTTTCCTTTGTACATACTTTACTTTTAAATGAATTTGTTCACCAATTTTTTTGTCCCTAAAAACATTCACCTTACATCCATCACCATTCAACCCAGCACACTTCTAATTCATCTAACACATAAGAAAATCTATCTATAGGTATACGGATCCTATACACTTTCATATACACTTAACACCAACTCATTTCCAACGCAAAGTCCTACAGTCACTCCTCTGTGGGGTATCTGTTGTCTTGCCAACAGCACGGAACTTATCCAGAATTATAGACTTTACCGTATATCAATCTTTTAACAAACATTCTCTTCCCGAGACTTTGGGTGTAAACTACATCCACCACATGCACCTCGAAGGAATCTCCAATAACCGGAACAAGACAAAGACCGAAATTCTACCCTGTGGTCTACCTGTTCCCGTGGTACCAGATTATGTGGTTCTCTGATTCGATTCCATGTCAAATCATTCGAAGACCGAGGATACATTTGATCACCATCAGTATATAGTCCTGGAAGAGTAGAGTTATAAGAAACACCTCTATTCCCCGGGATTGCTATAACAGCAATGTTTCATTTAAGCCTTCACATCGCGTCAAGATTCGAGATGTTTATCGATATATGTATACACAGAGGGAAAATAAACGTTTTAAAATTATATATACAAAATTTAAAAATTTACATACATAGAACACGTTTGCCTCCGGTAAGTTAGTACTGTTCTGTTTTAGTCTGTCAGACCGGAGGTCGAGAGTACAATTCCCTTCAAAGACATTGTTTAAGGAGAACTATACATCACATATACTTTTAAGCATGCAGAGCTAGCATATTCTAAGATGACTTAGTTTAGTTTGTAAATAATGGGTTAGTTTAGCTATCAACTGAAAATAAAACTCTATTTGGAATAAAATACTTTTTTAACTTTTGGAACAACTGTTCCCTATACGTCAAAAGTTTAAAAAAGTATATTCATATTCGTAAACACAGATCTCAAATGTTTTGAAATTCAAGCATCCATGTGACGTTCAGAAAGAAGGCTTGTATGACAACATTTAAGGTTTAATTAAAAACACAATAATTAAGAAATTAATGCTAATTATAATAGAATTTAGTATACAAATATCGCTGAGTAAAGCTATAATTTTACATTTTATTAACTTAATATAAGTTTTTTTCCAAGAATATTAAATTTAAAAAGCAACAATAAAGGAAGTCATTTGAATTAAATTTGCACAATTAATTTTACTAAGAAACACAAAATTATTATGGCTAAAAATATTATAAAAAATAACCATAAAAAATACGTAAAACACAAACAAAAAACTAATATATTAATAAAAGCGTTTTAAAGAATCACTATATAAAAAATTATAATAAAAATAAAATTGCAATATTTTGAGTTTTTATAATACGTTTATACCATAAATCAAATAAACCGTTATAAACTGCTGTAGTTTATGCAAAATATTCAAAATTTATAGAACAATATTATTTATAAAATGAAACCAATTTAAATTTTTATAAATATTTATAGATGATAAATTCTCTCTCCACTCCTAAAAAAATAAATAAAAAGATTAAGATGTTTCTAGAAAAAAAGAAGAAACTAAAATCTTATTAAGAAATCTATTTGGGTACGAAATGTTACGAAAACAAGTTTGAGTTTTAAGTCTTTTGTTTTTAACTACATACAAACATATTTATATAACAAAATAACACAATAATTAATGTTAATAAATTAGATTTTTTATTTTTATTATTAGTTAGAGGAGCTATTTAAAATTTGTTTACGTATTTTGTAATTTAAACATTCACTGTGTGTGTTTTTGTTTATTTATTTATTTTTTTGTTTCATATTTTTTTAGTGATCCCATTTACAAATGCTTCATTTCCATATTTTGGTACAAAAATTGGTTCATTAAAGCGCTTACATCATGGTGTTTCCGGCGATGTTTACGCAGTTGATTCGAGAACAATATTTGTGAAAAAATTTAACTACGATGGTGAAGCACCAGGTAATATTGAAAATAAAATATTTAATAATTGTGTTAAATTCGGCTATGCCGAATATGAAATACCCTTCATGAATATATATTTTTATACAAAAAAAATTTTAAAAATATTAAAATTTTTTTAGAATATTTTTATTTATTTTTTTTTAATTCAATACATAGTTTTTTTTTCTAGACATAATGTATACCATTTGATATACATATTGCTTATGTAGCAGTAGAAATATTTTCAAAATTCTAGTAAAAACTTGGGGTTTCTCAGAATTGACATCTAAATAGCAAACTTCTCGAAAGCCTTTCTGATAAAACATCTACGAGGCCTTTAAAAAATTGATTTCAACTGACATTTTAAACATTTATGGGCCGATTCTTAAATAGCAAACTTCTTGAAAACATGTCCGAAGAATAGTATCCTGAAATTATCATGGGCCTTCAGAAAATTGCTTTCAACTAGCAGTTTAAATATTTATGGACCGATTCTTAATAGTAAACTTCTCAAAAGCATGTCCGATAGAATTATTCAAGATTTGGATCCTGAAGTTATCGGGGACCTAGCTTCTCGAAAACACGTCTGGTAAAATTACTCAAAATTTGGATTCTAAAGTTACCTGGGACCTTCAAAAAATTGATTTCAACTAGCATTTTAAATACTTATGGACCGATTCTAAAAAGCAAAACTTCTTGAAAACATGTCCGATGAATTATTCAAGAATTGGATCCTGAAGTTATCTAGGACCTTCAGAACATTTATTTCAACTAACATTTTAAATATTTATGGACCGATTCTAAATAACAAACTTCTCAAAAGCATGTCTAATAGAATTACTCAAGATTTGGATCCTGAAGTTATCTGGGACCTTCAGATTTGAACAACATTCATTAATTTGAACAACATTTTAAATATTATTGGACCAATTTTGCTAATTTTATATATAAAACTTCCCGAAAATTTGGAGCCTTCTGAAAATATATGTATATGTATGTTATAAGTAAGTCTGTAGGTAGAAATTACAAACGGAATGAACAAACTTAAAGTGAAGGGTATAAAAAAAACCCGCGCACAAATTTTTTTTAACAAAAGAAAATATATATAACAATTGCTTTAATTATAATGCTAAACATTCTCTTACAGCTGCCTATTTCTATGTGGGCAATACCAACAAACCCAGCAATGAGGGAGCTTATCGTTTGCGTGACGAAAGAGGAGGCGCTGCTGCTTTAACCCGCCGCTATAGAAACAAGGATATAACCTTATCCTTACCCGAAGGCATTAGTCTTAAAGACATTAAATGGTTTTCGGTATGGTGTGATGAATTTGCTGTTAATTTTGGTGATGTCACCATACCCAGTAATTTGGATTTTCCCCGGCCGCAAAAAATTAACAATTTAAATGGTGTACATGATGTTAAATCCGATAATATTGTTATAGTCGATGCCCAAACCTTATTAGTGCCAAATTTTAGCTATGATGGTGAAGCTCCCGGTAGGTTTTTAATTTAAGGCTGAAAATCTTAAATTTTTCTTTATGTATGACAAATATTATGTATTATTAATCGCTATAGATGCCAAATTTTGGGTTGGTCAAGGTGATCGTCCCTCACCCAATGGCTTGCGTATACCCGATGAGAATGGCAAAGAAGATCCCTTAAGACGTTATGATCGCAAGACCATTGTACTCACCCTACCCGATGATTTGACCATTTTCGATATTGGTCATTTTGGTGTTTGGTGTGAAGCATTCACTGTCGACTTTGGTCATGTTCGTATACCGAAAAATTTGAATGTCCCACCCTCTCTTAAAATGTTGGGTATTAGTCCTCAGGTAAAAAAACATATAAATTCTATACTCAATAATTTAGATGTGTAGATATAACTAAGTAAAAAAAGCATTTAAATGAAATCAGTAATCAAACAACAAATACGTAGAGAAAAAGTTAATTAGAGTTTTGTTAACATAAGAATGAAAATGTTAAACATAAGATAAAAATGTTTAATTGCAAAAAAATTCCATTCATCAAGCAAAATATGTATGTATGTAGTTAAAAGAAAAATAATTGGTGAACAAAAAAAAAACACACGAAGCAAATTATTAATGCTGTAATTGTAAACATTCATTTTTCATAATTTTAATTATATAATTTTAAGTGCTTAAATATTATATTATAATATCCATTGTTTTTATACTATTTAAATATTTATTTCATTTTTTATATTAAAAGAATTAAAAAAAAATAATTTAGACTTAAATGATAGAGAAGTGGTAGTATCAATACAATATTTCACAATAAGGGAAGTTTTACATTTACAATTTCAAACTTTCAAAATTATGCGCAAATAATATATTTTCGGATATATCTCGAATACATAGTTCTTAACTTTCCACGTTTGAATGTTGAGAGCGAAACACCGATCTATCGATCCACTACGTACAAGAGCAAAGATCCCAAAGAGTATGCAATGCTGTAGCCAATAACAACTCTGCACTAATATAATCTAAAGGATCAAATGTCCTTAATGTCTGTCTGATTATCAATATATACTTCGTTTCAACTACAAAAATCATTTGAAATGTCAGTTAATGCACTAAGACGTTGAGAACAAAATACCGATCAATCGATCTACTTCGTCAAAGAGCGATGATTCTAAAGATCCCAAAGTATATGGAAAGCTCTAATTCGTTACACCTTGATACCAATATAATCTAACGGATAGGAATGGTCAGAAAGTCTCTTTAAGCAAAATGTAGTTTCCAGGCAACATTAAAACAATCAAACTTGCAACCACATTTTACAAACTTCTCAAAATCATGACTGATAGAATTATTTAAGATTTGTATTCCAAAGATACCACGGAATTTCGACATTCGTACAGACAGACGGACATCGTTAAATTTATTTCGATTTCTAAAAGATTTCAGAAAGTGTACAGGATTGCACAATTAAATTGTATTACGAACTCAATTTAAGAGTTTCTTTAACTTTCAACGTCTGAACGTTGAGAACGAAACACCGATCAATCGATCCGCTTCGTCCAAGAGTGAAGATCCCCGCAACACATAATCTAACAGAATGGATGTATTTCAAGACTGCCTGATGCAAACTCAATTGTAGAGTTTGTCCAAGAGCGAAGATTGTAAAGAGTATGCAAGGCTCTATGCTATAACACCTTGGCACCAATATAATATACCGGATGGGTTCTCTTTCAAGTCTGCCTGATTTTTAGTATCTACTTCTATATCGCCCATGACAAATATATATACATTAGAATTTCTTTAACTTTCCACGTTTTGGACGATTGAAAACGAAACTTCGTTCAAGAGCGTAGATCCCAAAGAGTAGGAGAGTGCAAAGCTTTACTCTATAATATAGTGGATCGGTTGTTTTTCAAGTCTACCTCAGTTTTATCATCTGCCCATCATATAAAACCTACGACGGAAAAATGATGTCTGAAGACGAAAAAACGTTCCGTATTTGTTTACATCTGATCTGATAAAACTCCATCTAATCTATCTATCTATCGGGGATCGGTTTTCTTTCTGAATAATTTTTAGTATCTACTTCTATATCTCCCATAAAACCTAAGACTTAATCAAGAATCTTTGGGGAAAAGTTTTGTCTGATATTTCACCAATGTTGACCTATTTTCATCAAAAAAGCCATTGATACCCTTAGTGATGCCTCAGTCTGCTTGTGCTTCCCGCAACAGTACATCACTTCCACAACTTTACACGATTGTAAAAAGAACGAAACATATAAAAAAAGAGGGGAAAGCTCGAACTGAAATCGGAAACCCATTGTTTAAACGGGATCAAAATTTCACATTCCCACAGATGAAGACAGTAATAGCAAGACACAATATGTTCTTAAACAATTGAGAGTTTAATCGCTCTGCAAACTCTCTTTTTCCATAGATACAACTTCCCTATTTACTTGAAAATTTTGTTAAATATTTGTCCAGTTCACAATTAGAGTTCTATTGTTGTATGTCATAATTAATTTATTATAGGTTTGTTTTTTTAAAACAAAAATAAAACTATAATAAAAAAATTACGACATACAACGCTACAATGCCGATTGTGAGTTGGACAATTGTATGGACTCTACTCTTCTCTCTCTTTCATTTAAGTCTTAACTTGTTTCTTAACTGAAATTTAAATTTATTTGTAAACACAAAAAGTAAAAAAAAAAGAAAAAAAATTTCGGCCAATTCTGTGAAATTTTGTTTTTATTTGTTTAATTTATATATTTTTTTATAAGTTTTTTTTCTATTTAAGTTAATGAATTTTTTTATAAATAAAATTTTGTTTATGTTTAAACAATATTTTAATCAAAAAGAAAAATTGTGTTTGAATATTATTTTTTTATATATAAATTTTTTTATTCTTTAAAATATAGATACAAAGTGAAATATGTTGTGTAAAGGAATTAATATTATGGCAAATGAAAATTTATGTGGAAATAGGTTTATGTATGCTTTTTTTTTTTTTTTTGCTTATACTGCCTGTTTGTGTGAAAAATTTACCCGTATCCAGAGCCAACCATCAGCCTCCTGTTCTTACTAACTGCTCCTTAAACATTCTTTTTGTTGTCTTTTTTTCGCTCAATCTTTTTCGAAATATTTTCTTTTCTTAAATTTCAAAAAAAATACAAAATTTTTTATATTTCAAAAAGAACATTTTTCATTTTGTATGTATATTTTCATGTTATAATAAAAAAATTTTATATATATAAAAAAAAATTATTCAAAAACACAACAAAAACAACTACAACAATATTAATAATTAAGTACATAACACAAACATTTAATTACATTTTGAAAAAAAATCTTACAAAAATTGGGAAGGTTTTTGGTAAATATTTATGGTTTTTGGTTTTTTTCTTAAGTTTCCTTATTATATCATTTTTAAATGTTTATTATTTTTGTCATTTAACACTCATTGTCAAGGTTAACTTGTTAAAAACACTCACATTAACTGTTTTATAAATAAACGCTTTGCATTTTATTTCTGTAATTTAAATTTAATTAAATTAAATTAATTAACTTTCAAATTATTAAAATTTTGTTTTTCGTTTTCTTATTTCTCTAATTATAATGTTTAAAACAGGTTGGTTTTTAATAAACAAAAATTTTGTTTGTTTTATTAATTTGTTGAATTAATTTATGTTAAATGGTTTTTGTGTATTAAATATTTTAATTAATTTTTATAGTCAAAACTTAATTGTGAAGTCTTATATGATGATAAGGCTTTCGAAGTACGCTGGGCAATGGCTGGTGATAGTATCGTCGTACAATTGGTGGCAAAATTAGGTAAGTTTTGCTTTTTTTAAACTTTTTTATATAAACGACTTTTTTTTTTTAAAAGCGCTTTTGAAGATTTTTTTTTGAAATATTTGAAAGGTTTACGTAATACCTTTCATTTGATATACATATGTATATTCAGCGTTAAGAAATTACGCTGAATACGAGATCGAGACTCCCAAATACAAAAGTGGGAGTTTTCCGCATTTTTAAGTTTACTCAAAGTATTGTCCATGGCCTCTTTCCAATCTTCTGACAACATATCCACGCCAAAAGAATTGCTCATCTTTTAAGCCAAGACCTTTTCTAAAGTGAAGCGTATCCCAGGGAGATCTTTCTGCATCGATCAACGCAAGGTCTGGACCATGAGAAAAACTTTCCCACAACTTTTTTCTAAATAGTTTTTCACAGGTATTGCAACATGCGATAGAGCGTTGTAACGATGTACTATTTTACGCTCGCAAACGGAACAGTTGCATTTGATAGAAGTTCCCTATAACCTTCTCCCTTCTGCATATGATGCGCATTCCTGACTTCATATTGGCAGCGTTTTCGGCCATTGATTACTCCAAACGAATCAGTTGCACTCGGTATAGGTTGCCTGTGATAATCTGGCCAAGTTTCAGCTTTTGGTCGCATCAAATACTGAGCATTTTTGAGATGGATAGCGTCATGTATATTTGGCTATAATGTTAATTCGGCTGGTTGCTCGGGCAACTCATACGATCTTTTACGCTTTCGGTTATTAAGTAATGGTTCGGCGCAAAACAATTTTCAAGGACTATCGACTACAATTTGTATCGTTCGCAGTTTTTGATGAATCCTGCCACTCGCAAACATTTTAAAAGTGCTGCTTTAGCAGCTCTCAATGATTTTGCTAGCTCTTGTTAAGTTTGACAACAATCTACTTGGACTTATGTATCTAATTCTTGGCCTTCAAACTAGTTTTTGGGTAGCCTGGGTTATCAATGTTTTGTCCGTCAGTCAGTCACAAACTATCTCCGGTACATTGAAACTGATGGAAAACATTTACGATAAGCTTCAGTTTGCAAAGAATTAAGACAAAGAAGTGGGTTTAAAAGAACACCATAAGCTGTGAATCCCGCATTTTTAAGTTATACACCCAAGATTGGTCTTAGATTTACGTCCATAAAATGCCTTTGTTCTTTGAAAAACATATGTATCTATAAGGTTCCCGTTTATATTTATTACCATAAAGTATTTCCCAAACGTTAACATTTTCAAAAGGAATGTGTCGCATTTGTTAAAATTTGACCAATAACGGCGAAACATATCTAGGATCAGACTATAACAAAGATTAATACTTTATCGAACACAATCGACGAATGGGCGGCAGAAAAATCGGAATGATCCTATATCACCGCTTGCGGAATGTCTAAAATGCTCTGGCACAGTTTTCCAAGGAAAACTACCTTAACCCTCTTGACCCTTGATATAAATTCTCCAAGAATTCTTATAGGCAACAGTCATTGCAGAATTACAGTTAGAAGTAATGGGCAGATCTCTTTGGGATCAAAGATATAAAAAGAACGCTCAAATTAAGAACGAATAATTTCAACGCCGTCACAATGGGATAAATTTCCTGAGAATAGTTTTCCTAATTTGCGATTTACTCACACCCAACTTTTGAAAGCGAATTTCGTGGAATTCTGAAACAAAAAACCTCATTCCATTCGCATTTCAATAAACGTACGGATAAGATTATATCTATGCATCTTGGCGATAATTTTGAAACAACACATATGCTAAGGTTTTAGAATCTAACCGACAACGGAATAACGTACTGTCTAGGATGAAAATCTAAAAGACTGATTGCTATTTTTGGAATTTTAAGAAAGTATCGTATCTGTGACCAGCAGTACCGAATCGTACTAATTCTATCGCTGGAGTTATTTGATACTTGAGATTATTTCAAAGCCTTGATATCAGATATCAGACCCCTTGAAAATTGCAATGGGATTATTGAAAGCGACCGTTTCCATAGATAAAGGTTTTTCGTTAAAAAAATGCATTTTGTTTTGAATATTTCTTAAATGAGATTAAAATTGACTTCGCAATACTTTCACAATTTGAAACATCAGCCTATGCCATGACGGATGGTCATGCGATTTAACATCTTTAAACATATTTCTTTGGGGTCACATTAATTCGCTAGTCTATACCAACAAGCTTAAAACGTTAGAAGAGCTTTAGGCCAATATTGAACGCAAAATTTTAGATATATCGGCGGATTTATTTGCTCGAGACACAAATATTTTAAGTAACTTACTAACGTTAGTAGTCTGAAATCAGCGAGTAATCTTGAAGTCTCATGTCATTTCTAAATTTTTAGATTGTTATTATTCTACAGACGCATTACCTCCATTTAAATGTAAATTTAACATATTAATAATAATCTTTTATAAATACTACACAAATTCTAACAATTTCTTTCGTAAAAATGGTACATGCAACAAGTTGCATGCATATATTGCTTTATTGAATGATACATGTTATGCGAAAAACTCGTTAATGAAAGTTTTATAACATCATGTTGCAAAAGCGACTCCATACTTTTGAGAGAAAAATAATTCAATCTCTATAATTATGGTCACAAATTTAAGTATCTAGTTATCTGTTATGTTCAAAGATATATACGAGTTGTGTCCACAAAAAAAAATAAAAACAAACTTGAAAACAACATTCCTAAGCGTGTTACTTACAACAATTTACTCCGTTTATTGAACTTCATAATGGTGAGTGTGACATGATGTACTTACTCCACTCTAAGACTATGTGCAGATAAATCAAATCACCGTAACTTTTATATAAATAATCGGGGCATAAGGAATGGTGTAAGTATTTATAAAAACCAGGCTAACTTGCCAAGCAACTGGTGGCATTTGGATGTTAGTAACACAGTGATTGAGACACAAACTCTCATAAAATCCATGCTACTTTAAACAGCATTTTTTATTTTAGATTAAACAACCTCAATTTATAAACAAATTGCATGACAATTAATTTTATGTACGTAAGTTCGTACGTAAAACCAGCAGCTTTTAATGACCGATTCGTTACAATTGGTCTTGATTTCCATAAAAGATTGTACGTTGTTGCCAACATCAATCATGTTAGAAATGAAAATTGTGAAAGATCTTATTGTGAATTGTTTACTTAATCAAACTTAATTATTTCTTTTCAAAACATTTAAAAATTTAATTAAACGAAACATTTCAACACTTTATTGTACGAACAAAAATGCTTAAAACTATTTTAACAACTCTGTTAGTACGATATTTGAAAAAGATCTAAAAAGTATTTTTCTAGTTTAATTACATTAGCCATAAGTTACAATTCCCTTTTATCTTTATTTTAGATGATAATGAATATATGGCATTCGGTATTTCACCGGACAAGGATCGCAGTGTTATGATTGGTTCTGATGTGGCCGTCAGTTGGGTAGATAGGGCAACTGGTAAAGGTTATGCCGTCGATTACTTTTTGGAAGGTAAATCTCAATGTTCGGGTAAACGCGGCAGTTGTCCCGATGTAAATATCGATGATAATACGAATTCTATACGTTTACTTAATGCTGCCATGGTAAATGGTTATTCCATTGTCACCTATCAAAGATCGTTGAATGCAACAGATAGATTAGATTTACCCATTGCTAGAAATGGTTTTGAAGCCATTGTCTGGGGTATTGGTCCATTGAATGAACGCAAAGAAACCTCATTCCATTCGCATTTTAATAAACGTACACATTATATTGATTTCGGAAGACAGCCAACATGGAATTGTCCAACACCTGAAGGTCAAAAACCTGGTCCAGATGACGACGATGATGATGATGAGGAGCAGCCACAAAATCAACAATCAGGCAAAGGTTATCCTCCTGCCTCGAAACCTTCGAGAGGAGATGGTGTACCCGAAGAAGAATTCTATGACAATAATAGGGCACAAGCTTTGCAGGGAGCAAATAGACGTCAAGAGACTACTAACACAAGATTAGCACAAAGACGTCCAGTGCCTACTCCTAAACCAGTTATAAATGAAAATGGTGCCTGGGATATTCCCGCTATTCAGTGTTATGAACCAGAAGACGGTGTATTCTATGCTCAAATGGGTCCTACTGGTGGTAAACATGGTTATTCAGCTATTACAGGTATACATTCAAATTTCGCACCTTATTTTCAACTTTATTCTCTATTACTTGAATAACTTTTGTAGGTCATGTTGGTTGGGGTATATCATGGTTCATTAATGGTCTATTGATTCCTGAGATTCACGTTGTTCGTGGAAAGACTTATACTTTCGTTGTAGAAGGTGGCAATAATCCTGATGTACCCGCCAAATATCATCCATTCTACATAACTGACGATCCTATCGGTGGTTATGAACATAAACGTGAAGAAGAAAAGAAGGTACGTCTGTAATTTAAAGAAGATTTTTCCTTTCATTTAAGCCGTTCCCCTCCTTAGAATATACGCATATTTGCTGGTGTACACAGATCACGTTCAGGACAAATTACTCCCACCGGTGTGGGTCGTTTGTGTAATTGGACTCCCGATATTGATGGACCACCAGCAGATGACTACCAATCGTTTGGAGCCTATCAACGTACCTTAACATTGAAATGTGATCCCGGTGAGCCTGGTGTTATTACCTGGAAGCCAGATCAAAACACACCCGATACTGTTTACTATCACTGCTTTACGCATCGTTATCTTGGTTGGAAGATTCATGTGCATGATACGTGTGATGACGCCCGTTTTGCAGCCTCGGAAAAACATGCAGTACGCGTGCCGGCACCCGTAGCTGTTCAGGAAGAAGATGATGTAGCAGCAGAAGCATCTTTACGTCATGAAACAAAGGTCAGCCCCAACGATAATTTTTTGTTAAAGCACCAAACAGATTTAATTAAGAATCACAATATGAACGGAACTCCGCCGAAATTAACTTTTGAAATAACAAAATCAACGGAAATTACTAAATTGATTTCAGATGGGATCCGAGCTGCTGAGGCTCTCGAGGATAGCATATTGAGGCAAAAGCAACAACAACACCAACAGGCAAGTGGGTTAGTAAATCAAGGTTTGGCCAACAACTATATAGTCAACAGCAACACAAACAGTGCTAACGTTAGTCCTTCCTTGGGTACTAGTGCCCCATCCCCCTCGTCCTCTACACATGATGCCTCAAAGACGTCTCAAGCCGGTTCGTCACATCCGTTGGTGCCACCACAGCAACCGCATATATCAACAAATCCGCCAGAAACTCTGCATGGCGAAACTAATTTACAACAATTTTTAGATTCATTACAATCCACATCTTCACTCTCGCAATCACTCTCATTACCACATCCTAACAATAGACAATCACCAGTCTTATTAGCCACTCACTTACAATCACATTTAAACACACCATATAACAACATCCATTATCATTTGGCACAGCCACACCATCATACTACCAACAATCTAACCAATAATTTACCTTTAAAGAATTCACAGAAACCAATAGGGCTGTCTGAATATTTAAGGCCACCATTTAACGCACCTCTTTTCCATCCAGTTAAGTTGCCAGGTCGTCGTCCATATCCAGGACCCATCAAAAAGGTTCCCGCCTCTAAACCCATATTGCCACAACAATTACCAAGACATCCTCCAGGACTGAGTGGTCCAGTACCACAACCTTCAGTTATTGTTAATCACTATCGCAAGCCTGTACCCACTTTATTGAGACCTTTCATCAAAGATAAGCCATTTCCATTGCAACCGTTGGCGGCTTCTGTTCTTCTATTGGGTCAACCAACCGAATTGAATAACATGCGTAAAACAGACAACCTCATACATATGCTAAAGAAACCTATAATACCAGTGCCCTACGCTGATTTAATGCCACAGGGAAGTCTCACAAAACCCATATATAATAATAAAAACTCACTAGATAAATTGAAAAATAAGCCCATAAAAATAGCGGTTGACAACATAAAATCTCATGAAACGTCCACAACAACTGCTAAAACAATAAACGGTTTAAGTCCTGTGGGAGTTTTCAAAGAACCTTTCGATATGCAGGAAATTAAAGAAGAACCTACCGCCGCTGAACTAGCCACCATGAAGCCAGCCGTAAATGAAGGTTTTAAGCCCGATACAGTGGTTGTTGAAAGTGGTTTTAAACCAATACTAAGGCAGGATGGTCCCATGCCACCTCCCGAAGTAGTAGAACAAATTGCAAGCCGTCGCGAAGATCCAGGCTTAGAAATTGATGAAGCAATGGAAACTGATACTCTATTCTTAACGTCTCAACAGCAGACCCAAACTCAAAACTTTGAGCCCATGTTTATACCATCTCCACCAGACAGCACAAACGCAACCATAATAATACGCAAAACATCGGACGCACAAAATATGTATAATACCCCAGTTGTACAGAGTATGGCGACTAACAATCTTAAGGACTTTGTATATAACAAACCAATCAGCTCAATGTTAAAGTCAACTTTGAATCTACCAGAAGCTGCCAAGTTGAGAAATGCCTCATTAGAAGATATACTTAATGAATCAACTGAACAGGATGACAACAAAAGTGGGGATTATAAAGAGGAAAATGTACAAAATAATCTTGAAGAGTCTACAACTCAAAAACAATTGACCACAAAACAAAATAAAGTTATAATTAAAGAAATTAAGGAACTTTACCCATCTGATGAATATCTAGATATGGAGGGCTTTCAATCTGAAACAAAACTTAAGCTTATAGCTACATCCACTACAAAAGAGGAACCTAAAGTGAAATCAACCACTCCCGCCGAAGTTGTCTTGAAATTAAACAAAATTAATAAAAATGATAAATCCAATTTAGATGATATTGAATTCGATAGCGATAATTCAAAGGAAATGGGAGAAAACAATGACAATGACAACGCTAGAGAAGAAGACGATGATGAATATTTATTCGATTTAGATCAACCCGAAGCCCAAGCTGCTGAACGCATCGATACCTATTATTTACCACCCGATAATCGTAAAATACCACATGCTAATATACCAAGTGGTTCTGTAATAACATTTGATGGTAAATCGGTAATCGATAGCTCATTGGTGTTGCCGCCTAAATTGGATACTGAAAGAGATGATACTTCGTCACCACGACTTTTTAATGGCAACGGTAGACAAGGCCTTTCTAAATTACAACAATTAATAAGAAGTACTCCCCAAGTTGTACCATTTCGTGGCGAAATACCACCTTTAACGCCCGACTTAAGTCCTGAAACCACCCAACGTTCATTACAATCTAATAATAAATTTAATACGTATTCGTCATCATCATCAACATCTTTGCGTTCAACTCAATCAACAAAATTACAAATAATAAAAAATAATAGCAATTAATAAATTAAAACCAAGAATTTCAGTAGAATCAATCATCCATTCAATCATCTCAATCATTCTCTAACAAGAAGCATTAGTTTCGTTTCTTTTTTTTTCTACTTATGTTTTTAGTCTTTGTAGGCAACAAATACTCTTTCTACGCTCATCCACGAACCACTTAGTAACTTGCCATCATCTCTGAGAAGGACGCCTTCTGATTACTTTAATAAATAATAATCGTAATAATTAACCAATTCATAAACAAATTATTAATTATATTTATAAATTTAAGTTCTCTTCCCCTTTTCTATATTGTATACATAAATAATACATGCTTAATTAAATATATTATAAATAGTAGATGTTGTTTAGAAAACCATAGTGTTTTTTATACAAAAATGTAGAAAATTGTGTGCTAAATATAAAGTATACTCTTTATATATAGAGTATGTACTTTATATTCTATAAATTAAGTATAAGAAATTACATATATTTTACTTATAAATAAATAATGTTAAAACAATAAACATTTATTTTGAAGTTGTTTGTATTACTGTTAGCTTAAGCTTAAGCTGTTAGGATTATTATCCCTGAAATTACAGATTTTTGATATTTTTTTCAATTAGGGTGTTATTTAAAATTCTTCAGCCGATATTAGGTTTTTAGTATTATTAATGATCACTGATTTTAGTTTTCTCACTTAGAGCATTATTTAAAGAGCTACAGTCGATCTCAGGTTCTATATACATATAACAATAATTTTTTGATGGATAAATAAAGTGATCACAATAATTCGTTTTCTCAATTTAGCCTTTAATTAGGGATCTATAGGTGATTTTTAATTTTACGTAGCAAAAATCAATTTTTGATCAATTGAAGTAATCTTATTTAAGGATCTGCAGACGATTTTAGGTTCTTAATGCAAACCTAAGTCTTACGTCCTTCCTACTTAAAACCTTGGAACGGATAGTCGATAGCATGGTTAAAAGCAGCATACCATACAAAGACCTTAAATATAAGCAGCATGCTTATGTAAAGGGACGATCGATGGAAACCGCTTTAAATGAAGTTGTCCACTACATAGGTGAATCTTTCGATAGCAAACTGTATACACTGGCGGTATGCATTGACATCGAAGGCGCTTTCAATAACGTGCACACTGATACCCTTATCCAATCCCTAGACCAGTTTTATGTTGACCGGGTGTTCCGTAACTGGATCAACTACATGCTAAGGAACAGATGGATAAGCTGCGAGATGTACGATATAACTATCAGGAAAAAGGTATTTCGCGGTATACCACAGGGTGGCATTTTGTCTCCTTTACTCTGGGTTACCACGATTAATAGCCTCCTAAGGACCCTAACCGAGAAAGGACTTAGACCTGTCTGCTATGCAGACGATGTCGTAATACTTTTAAAGGGAAAGGATCCAAATTACTTGTGTAGAAGAGCTGAGGAGGCTCTGAATACGGCCTTGAGCTGGGCTCAACCGAGAGGCCTCAATGTTAACCCGGCGAAGACGGAAATCTGTCTTTTCAAAAGAAAGACAAAAATGTCTACGTATACTGAACCTTGCTTCCGTGCTGGGCGATATGTAGGAGAACCATAGGCATGAAATGGGGTCTTAGTCCTACTATGACAAATTGGCTTTATAAAAGTGTAATTAGACCAATTCTAGCTTATGCTTCAATAATCTGGTGGACTGTTTTGGACAAAAAGTGTAATATCAAACTACTACAGGGAGTTCAGCGTACATGCTGCTTGGGTATAAGTGGTGCCATGTGTACTACTTCAACCAAGGCTCTGGAAACGTTGCTAGATATTCCACCCATTGAAACATATATAAGATATGAGGCGGCGCTTACAGCCGAACGGCTCTTTACTTTAGGCGAACTGGCCAAAAACGGTTATAGGACACGTCATCAATGTATACTGGACACATTCGAAGGTTATACACATTCATCGGACGTGCCTGATCGCATACCAGACACTGAATATGTCGGAAACTTTGAAACACTAATCCCAGATAGAATGTCTTGGTCAAGCGGAACATTAGAGCAAATACCAGTAGGAATCCGTTGCTACACGGATGGCTCTAAATTAGGGGACAAAGTGGGCCTGGGGTTCTATATTGAAGACCCAGAAACAGAAATATACCACCGTTTACCTAATCATAACACAAGCTTCCAGGCAGAAGTACGAGCAATAACGGAATGTGTAAATTGGATTAGAATAAATATGGCGCCCACAGGTCTTAATATATTTACCGACAGCCAGAAGGCAATTTGTGCGGTATCAGGTAATAGAGTTAAATCTAAGACCGTATTGGATTGTAAGAAAGCTTTAACTGAATACTCTCCCAGAGGTAAGGTTCACATCATATGGGTACCACGCCACTCGGGAGTAGTCGGCAACGAAAGGGCGAATGTAATAGCTTTAATGGGAAGTGAGCTCGATGTAGTTAACCTGACAAACGCAAAACCATTCGACGCAACAAAAGCTGAATTAAAAATATGGATGAGAGAATCCGATAAGGCCTCTTGGAATAATGAAACGGTGGGTAGAACCACAAAGATTCTATGGGGTGACCCTGATGAGAGCAAGACGAGAAATCTTCTCAAAATGAGCAAGTCTGAGGTTAGTATGATGGTACGTATTCTGAGCACATCTATACAAAATTGGACGTGCGGATTCAGACGAATGTAGAGCATGTGGAGAGGACAGTGAAACTCTGGAGCACTTTCTTTGCCATTGTCAGGCATTCGTCGAAGTTAGATCCAAGTATCTAGGAAGTGATGTTATTCCGGAAATAACATTCTTAACCAACACCGATTGGAAAATTCTTAGGAATTACGTCCAGGAAACTGAGTTTCTGAACATGGAAAAATAATACATTCAGTGAACAATTTTTTTTTTTTTTGTCTTTCTTGAATTGGAGCGCACAACAGGCCCGATAGTGGCCCAGGTGTATTTCTTCGGATTTGATGTAGTATCCTATCAACCTAACCTAACCTAATGCAAAATTCGATTTAAGATGGAAAATTTAAGTGATTACAGTGGAACGTTACACAGTGGTATAGGAAAAAAAAAAGAGGGAAATAATTCGGTAACTTCTAAACGGTTAATCCGATTTTAATGAAATTTGGTATGCACAAAGAGGAGGTGTTGTCGAGTTTAGGTTTTGAATTTGGACCTTATAGGCCAACCAGGGGCCCGGCGGGGGGTCCTCAAATTAGGACACCTCGGCTATGTTAAATTTTTAAAACGATCCTATTTCTTCATTTGAGTTCCGATTTAAAAAAAATTTCGTATATAGAATCTCCTCATCGAGCACTATAAAAAATGTCGTCGTAGCAGTAAATTATCTCTTATAGTTTAGGAGATATTCGCATTTGAATATTAAAATTTTAAAATTTTTACCGTCCTTACTTTAGTTTTTTTGATAATAGCAGGTCCAAATATTTCCGATTTTCGCCATTTTTTTTTATTTGCTTAACAACAAGTTTATATACCAAGCAGTGAAAGAATTATGTAAAAATCATGACTGAGTCCAAAGTTATAGGCATTTAAATTTAAAAAATTAAAAAAAGGCGATTTTTTGTCATTTTTTTGGGAAAAAAGTATCTTTTTCTTTTCAAGTTATCTAAAAAGTTTCTAAGAAGATGTATATAGAATTTATACTTTTTGGAAAGCTGACTTTACATAAAATACGATAAATGAAACAAAACCTAAAAATTTTTGATACCGAGGGGACCAGGTCCATCCAAAAAAACCCTATTTTTTATGGAAAATTAAATTTTGAGCAAAAATTCTCAAATCGCATAGTCGATATCAAATTATAGTGACCTGTTTTATATGACCCAATAAGTTCTTAATCATTTTGTAACGGGTTTCGATAACCCCGCCCCTGGTATGGATATAATAGGCAAAAAACCAAAAAATCCCATTTTTGGGATTTTTTAAAACTTTTTTGGGAATTCCGGGATTTCTAATAAGAAAATTCGAAATTTTTATTTAATTTTGGATTTTGAGTAAAAAAATCTACCTAACTGTAAAATTTCATCAAAAAATATTCATAAATAAAATTTTTATTGCAATTTGAAAAATTTGTATCTTCGCAAAAACTGAATAAAAAACATTTTTTAATTTTTTTTAAAAAAAGTATTCCGCGAATTTTTTAATTTTCAAAAATTATATACAGTTTTGAAAAATAGACAAAATTACCTTTCCATTGATATATAACATGCCTACCTAATGTTTTTTAAGTGACAAATTAATTAGGGAAAACTCAACATCTTTTAGAAAATTTACCTAGCACTATTATTTTCATCCATATATGTAACAAATTTAAGAGTTAACCTTATGGATGAAAATAATAGTGCTAGGCAAATTTTCTAAACTCTACCTAACTGTAAAATTTCATCAAAAAATATTCATAAATAAAATTTTTATTGCAATTTGAAAAATTTGTATCTTCGCAAAAACTGAATAAAAAACATTTTTTAATTTTTTTTAAAAAAAGTATTCCGCGAATTTTTTAATTTTCAAAAATTATATACAGTTTTGAAAAATAGACAAAATTACCTTTCCATTGATATATAACATGCCTACCTAATGTTTTTTAAGTGACAAATTAATTAGGGAAAACTCAACATCTTTTAGAAAATTTACCTAGCACTATTATTTTCATCCATATATGTAACAAATTTAAGAGTTAACCTTATGGATGAAAATAATAGTGCTAGGCAAATTTTCTAAAAGATGTTGAGTTTTCCCTAATTAATTTGTCACTTAAAAAACATTAGGTAGGCATGTTATATATCAATGGAAAGGTAATTTTGTCTATTTTTCAAAACTGTATATAATTTTTGAAAATTAAAAAATTCGCGGAATACTTTTTTTAAAAAAAATTAAAAAATGTTTTTTATTCAGTTTTTGCGAAGATACAAATTTTTCAAATTGCAATAAAAATTTTATTTATGAATATTTTCTGATGAAATTTTACAGTTAGGTAGATTCTTTTACTCAAAATCCAAAATTAAATAAAAATTTCGAATTTTCTTATTAGAAATCCCGGAATTCCCAAAAAAGTTTTAAAAAATCCCAAAAATGGGATTTTTTGGTTTTTTGCCTATTATATCCATACCAGGGGCGGGGTTATCGAAACCCGTTACAAAATGATTAAGAACTTATTGGGTCATATAAAACAGGTCACTATAATTTGATATCGACTATGCGATTTGAGAATTTTTGCTCAAAATTTAATTTTCCATAAAAAATAGGGTTTTTTTGGATGGACCTGGTCCCCTCGGTATCAAAAATTTTTAGGTTTTGTTTCATTTATCGTATTTTATGTAAAGTCAGCTTTCCAAAAAGTATAAATTCTATATACATCTTCTTAGAAACTTTTTAGATAACTTAAAAAGAAAAAGATACTTTTTTCCCAAAAAAATGACAAAAAATCGCCTTTTTTTAATTTTTTAAATTTAAATGCCTATAACTTTGGACTCAGTCATGATTTTTAC